CAAATTCGAGAAATTATTCTAGCAATGTTTAATGATCCAGAGGTTATAAAAACAATTAGAAACAATATTAATAACACGAATTTATCTATTACAAGACCTGATTTTACAAATTATCGAGATTCAGTCTTAGAAATACAGGAGTCTGATGGGGAAGATGAGATATTGAATGATCCTATAAAGATTGACTTTGTTCGAAGAAAGGAACCTGCCACAAGCCTTGCAACTATACCAGTGAAAATCAAACGCCTAAAAATTCCAGCATTGGTTTTAGATAGTGGCGCTGAACCTCCAATTGTATCAGAAGATATCATTAAACGTGTAAATTGGCCAATTGATAAATCAGAAAAATATGATCTTAGTGGCGTTGCTACGGTCCCAACAGAATCTATCGGCATGGCTCGTAATTTTCCAATAACATTTCCTTTAGATTTTATTATACGTAAAGATTTTGTTGTTGTACGACCTCCTAAACCAACATTAATATTTCCAAATCCACTTCTCAAAAAATATAAATGCGTTATAGATTGGGGCAAAGATGAATTGAAGATTCCGTTTAATGGAAAGGATCACATTATTCCGGTAACTATGCACAAAGTCAAGAATAAACTTGAAATAAATTGCGCTATCACATCTCAGAATGATAAGCCTTTAGTATCCGATCAAATTTTCCAAAATATATATGGTAGTGAGGATGACAATATACTGTTCGAAAAGTGGTGTACTCCTGCTGGCTTTAACCTAGATTCTGACAATTCAACTTTAAAAAAAAACACATGAACTATGAGGAGTTAGAAAAAACACTATATATTGCTCTCGAGTCTAAGACCGAAATAAACGATCTTTGTGAAAAGTTGCAAATATGTTATGGAAAGCTACTTGAATATATCACCTCCAGAGATGATAATATAAATAAAAAAAAGATAGATCTATGTAGTAGCTAATAGGCGAGTCATATTTGCTTTATTTTTCTCATCTCTTCTGGCTTCTTTTTCATATAATGCACCCAGATCCTCACAATTTATTTTTTCCGTCTCATTAAATATAGATACTACTGCATTAGAGTTATTAATAGATATTGGATAAGATATATGAACGGATTTAGACCAAGATTTGGAACTTCTCTTTTTTATTTCTATATTAAGAGGAGTAGTAGATTCTGTATATAAAGTCTCTCTTCCGATTTGATTAAAATTTTCAGATGGAGTTGATGAGACTAGTCTAGATATAGGTAATATTTCAGTGAAAATGGTACTTTGTATTATTTGTTGTTGGTGCTCTCGATCTTCCCATATATCATCTACTCGATGTTCATTAATATGGAAATTTCTCATAATTTTATATTTAGGTACCTTACCTTTGAGTGATCTAATTGTTTCTATCTGCTCAGAAGTTAGATATGTAGATTTTCCACGATAATATAATTTTAAAAATGGTATATTCATGGTCTGATTTTTACTGAATATTTAGAACGATATTAAATATTTTTAAATAATAAAAAACAATATCTATTATTATAGTATAATAAAAAATAATATTTATTGTTATAGACTAATAAATATTACACTACCTTCTCGCATATATACTTAAAGCCACATATATAGAATCTATTTTCGAATATATAAGAAAAAATAGTATCTAATATAATTTTTTAATAGTCTATGATGTTTAACATTAAATATCGTTAAATAATAATAGAAATTATTAATGAAACTAGCTTTATTATTTGTATATTATTTATTCTTAATATGGCTAATATTCATACATTACAAAATAGTAAAGGTCATCGATTTGGTAATATGTAAGAGCAAGAGCTGGAAGAAAAATTATATACTGCTCACAAATACAAGACCAAAATCAATGACCTTAGCAAAAAATTACAAGATAAATATTCTAAACAAATAAAGGATTTTGATCAGGAGAGAAAAGACTGGAACCAGGAAAGAAAACAATGGAAGAATATATTTAGTAATGTTAATAGCAATAAATAGAAGTTACATACCCACGCTTTAGAACTTATTAGTAAGACTAAGCAATTAAAAATCGAAAATACTAGTCTTATCTCTGAGAATATCCGTAAAGATCTTTATCTTGCTGAATCTAAGACTGGAAATATTACAAAATTCAAGAAAATCAAATCACTTGAGTCTATTATCAAGATATTGGAAGGTAAGTTGTCTTTGGCCCAGAAAGATGTGGTTTCGATTCAAAATGACTCATCAAAAAAAAAATCTGAGATATTATCCCTTAAGTCTAAAATAGCTGAATTAGAACAAATGAAACATGAACTAACCTCTAAAGTTAGTAAGTTGGAGCATCTAAAATTGGAAAATATATCGAAACCTATAATTGGTGGAGATGACAAAAAAAATATACAAGGCAGTGAACAGACTTTCCTATTGAATTCTGATGAAATAGCTGTGATTAGTGAACCTAATAATCTTAGTAAATATTTAGTATGCAGAAAAAATATGGATCCAGGCTCTTTAGGGATAACTCTTCAAGTCATAGAGAAAATTGATGGTGATGTCAAGACATATACCAGGCCTTTAGGCGTCTCAAAGAGACATGATGAGATTACTGAACTATCAAAAAATGATACCAAGATTAACTCTAAGAAAAATGATGAAATCAATATTAGCAAAACTAACAATATACTTCAAGAAATACCAAATATGACTCCTTACCTTACACCGTCAGAAAATTATGGGCTCTGCCCAGTGTCAAAGACACATACTCCCTTTTTGATGTCATTGCTATCAGCATATATATTTCTTACTCTGTTAATTATTGCGATTATTGTTATATTGAAACACATATGGAATATAGGTAAAAAGAGTAATCGGTTACGGGATGTATAGGCCAGGTATTAGGAACTATCTATTTAAACTTCGATATTATTTATGTACAAAAAAATATTATTAATGATGTATAAATGATAGTGATATAAAGAATATATTTATAGTGAGTTCATTGCTTTATTCCACATATTTAGAAAATCATCAAGTGTCATTTGATCAACTTTCATTATATCGAATAAGATAGGTTGCTTGGTAATAATCTTTTTTTTTCTCATAGTTCCGGATTGGTCAATTTTATCTGGGATTGTTATATGCTCTTTATATTGCATATAATATACTAACTTATGAAAGAAAACATCATATTTCTCGATAATTGGGATAAGTACATTTAGATGTTTTGTAAAATCAGAGCATATAGATTTTTTTATCCCTTCACTTATCAAGAGATTATCGTTTTCAATATATGCTTTAGCATACTCTACAAACCTTTCCCATAATCTCTCAACAGTATTAATCGCCTTAAAATCCTCAAAACTAAGCCAATCTCCATAAAATATCTCATATGTATCACCTATTTTCTGATATAATATAGCTTGTATAGTCTTGACTGTATTCTTGTAGGCACGTTTATAAGCATATCCACGATTAGATATTATTTTAGAATTGATTTCATTTATTTCCTTAATAAACAATTCTAGTTATTTTTTGGCTTTTTCTTGAGCATAACTATTGATCTGTTTATATTTTTTATCCAAGTTCGTAATTTTCATGATTTTGTTAGTAGATGGTAGTTTGTATTTCTTATCATTCATAATAAATCGGGCACAAAGTGCAGTAATAACATTTTCGAAATAATGAGATAAATCTATATGTCTACCTTCTTCCTTAGCAATATCTACAAATTCTATCTAATCCGATTTTCCTAGCTTAAGCTTTTTACCAGTTAGATCAAAGATTCTATCAGGTTGGACAATCATATAACTAAAATGTTCTCCTGGATCTGAAATCTTATTTTCATATTTATTTCTCATCTGTTTTATAAAATGTTGAACATGTATATTATTTTTATTAGGCTTCCATATAGCAGTCTCTATAAATTGATCGAAATTCCATTGTCTGGGGTTAGTTATGGCCTCTTTAAGAACATCTTCAACAATTTCATAAAGAGAACATGTATTATTGATATCCATTGCACCCCACATAATTTGTTTTCCTATAGTTTTAAAAAGCTGCGACTTACCTTGTTTCACAGTATCAATACCTTTAATAAAAAGTTTTTCTGGCTTAAAATTTACTTTTTTCTTATGAGATATTCCGAAATATTTTTTTTACCAGTAAAACAAACCAGAAATAATATTTCCTCATAGGCCATTTTAAGATTATTTGAACCAGTTTTCAATTTGAGAAAAGTATTTACCTCATTACATAATTTCTTCATTATATTTATAGTAATTTCAACTATTTTTGTTCAATACTCTAACTTTGAAATTAAACCTTTACTATTATTATAAGCAAGATCATATTCTTTATAATAATTATTGGGGATTTAAGATACAAAAAGTCAGTATCACCATATTTGATTTCGAAACCTTTCTTAGTTACATATTCTGCAACGAGCTTGATGATATGCTGTCTTGCTATTGTAACATCTCCAGCTAATGCTCGAAGAAAGAATGAAGATTTGCTATTTCCAGCTTTGCCATAAAAGGTATTCATAAAAACCTAAACAGCTTTCTGTTTTGAGTCCAAACAATTATAATCAAAACATATAGAATTATACTTTGAGTTTAAACTGTCTAGAACATTTTTACCTTTTTTCTCTATTAAACTTATTAATTTTTCAAGTTGTTGTTTTTTCTCACCCAATATGACAAGTTTTGATTTGAGCTCTACTCGCTTATTTAAGAGATCCACTAACACATCAGGATATAACTCTTTTTTTTCGGATTGATTATTATGACGGATACACCAAGCATTGAATATACGATTATTGAATGGAAATTCAATATTATATAGGTCACATCCCTTAGCACATACAATATTGATCTCTTCATAATTTAATATTATTTTTTCGGAAGAGAGATTATATGTCATCATAAGGCTGGGATATAGGGATACAAAATCTAAACCTGTTACGGGCCTCTTAGACTTAATACCTTTCTTAGGTGGAAAAACATATACACTCCTATACTTTTTTTTTTTTATATTTTTACATACTCTTGTACTAAATACTATATTACGCTTGAAAGCATAAGCTCCTAGGAGGTTTCGTACCTTCATCCCATTTGCACGATAGTGTGAGTCAAATAAAGAAATATAGGCAATTGAAGCAACCTCCCTATACTCATTGATTACATTACATACAACCATAAGTTCTTGACAACTTAAAGCATCTTTAATACAATATTCAACAACTTTATGCATTTCATCCAATTTTACAGTTTCATAGATTTTGTTCATAACACTTATCGACATATCAACTTTACTTTCAAGACCACATTCCCCTAGATAGAAATTGAGTGAACTAGCCCTTCCAACTTCTGATCGAGGATAAAGTTTCATGAAAAATACGCGAATATCAATTGGAACGCATCCTGGTATCTTTAGAAAGGAAGAATCAAAATCTAGTTATGCATTAATTTTAATCTTAATAAACTTTTGCCTAAATTCCTTCTCTTCATACTCATCATCATACTCATACTCATTTTCTTGTGTATTCGATTCACTGAGATTAGATTTGATGTAAAAAGTATTGTTTGTATTTTCACCTATCTCTCCATAATAATCATAACGTAAAATATCTTTATCTGTTTTTCGATATAAACCTCCCGACATTCGTTTATATATCCATCCGAGGATATTTAATTTCCTAGCCTTCTCTATAATAAAAGGTCAATCATAATCAGAATCATTAAATCCAAGTTGAATATTGATGTAAAGGCTTGTAAGCAAAGAGCAAAGGCTTTCAATATGTTAATCTGATTGCTATAAATTATTGTAATCCGATCTGGATCTGATACTGTTTCAATGTCAACGAGACAAATTTTTTGTAATGGTTTAGGATCGTCTTTCCAATGTAAAGTCATGCAAATTATAAAAACATTATCCTCATTATATTTTGCTAAAGGTAGTTCACTCGATTTATGTGCACTATACGTCTCAATATTTCAAGTAAGTATAAGTATATGGTCTTATATAAATGTAGAAATAGGATAGCATGTATTTAACGCTGTAAGGTCTTTCACTCGATAGAAATTCTTTGTAGATATATGAAATGTATATGGACAAAGTTTTGAATTTTTATCATAAGTATAATTACTTATTATTGACCATCCAAATAATGAGAAACCATATTCACGAGCTACTTTGCGATAGTATGCACTTGTGTTATCAGAAGCTGTAGTATATTTATTTTTACGTATAAGTTTTATAGCAACCTTTCTTTCCTCAGTAGTAGTTGTAAAAATTCGCAAGTATGATTTCTTATCTACTGTATATTATATCCAATAAATGGAAAAGCTTTAATATGTTTG